TGCTACTTCTAGAGATAGTGATCCGGGTTTGAAGTATGGTTATAACCCAAAACCAAACGATAAAAATTGTATAAGGTGTAATTTTTGTGAAAAAGATACCAATGGGGGTATTAACCGATTCAAGAAACATCTTGCCGGTATTAAAGGGAATGTTGTGTCTTGTAAAAAGGTTGATGAAGCTATTCAGGATGATATTAGACAACTTCTGAATTTAAAAGAATCAGAAAATGATGAAAATGAGCCTTTTTTTGTGGAAATATCTTCTCGAGGTTCTTCTAGAAGTGGTGATCCAGGTTGAAAATATGGTTATAACCCGAATCCGAATGACAAAAATTGTATTAAATGTAATTATTGTGGAAAGGATACTAATGGGAGCATTTATTGGTTTAAAAAACACCTTACCAGTATTAAGGTGGATGTTGCCCAGTGTAGAATGTTCCTGAGACTACCAGGGAGGAAATTATACAATATTTGAGTTTAGGGAAGCACAAAAAGATAGAAAAGTGTAGAGTAGCCAACACTCCTAGGGCCTTATCTGCACATACTAGTAAGAGGGAGGTAGAAGAAGAGGAGGAAGAGGCAGATTTAGAAGAAACAGAGGAGGACAAGCGTTATATTGAAGAGGAAGATGATTTTGATGATGATGGCCTCGATTCTGATGCATATGATGAAGCTTACCCTATTCCTCCTGATGATGATGATGATGACTGAAGAGTGAAGACTTTTGGTGTTGAGTGTTGAGTGTTGACTGTTGAGTGTTGACTATTGTGTCCAAGATTGCATATTTTCTGAATTTCTATATATTTTCTTTTTTTTATTTTTAGTTTCTAGTTTCTAGTTCTACTATCTAACTTTTGTGTGTACAGTCTACAATGTATCAGATTATTAGTGTATGCTTGTATGGTTTTATTGTTTTAGCATTGTATGAAAATATGGATTATAGTCTTATGGATTATCAAAATTCTCTTCTTGACTTCTATCTTTTTTTTTCTTTTAACTGGGATTATGGACATACCCTCAGTCATACCATGAGTCCCTCTATCAAGGGATAGAACTTGGGCCGCCCAGGTTCTGGGCTGCCGCCTAGGCGTTGGGCGGCCTAACGCCCCATGGCCGCCTGGGTGCAGCCTAGCCCTTTTTGAAACATTGAACTCAATACCTCTTGCAAATGACATCTTGACATCAGGCAGCCTAACCAACATGCCATTCGATATTTGATTAAGAAAGCTAGACGCTATATTACTTATATAAAGTTTTTGTCTTCATTTTTTTAAAAATAATAATTGAGCTGGGCTCGGGTGAGTTACTTAGACTCACCCGTGTTACTCTCCTCGGCCAAGGCTCGAATACCTTGGCCGAGTTGATTTTTTGAACACTGGGGCTTTCTTAATCAAATATCGAATGGCATGCCGGTTAGGCTGCCTGATGTCAAGATACCCTTTGCAATAGGTCTTGAGTTCGATTCTTGGGGGTGGGGGGAGGGTGGGTATTTTTTTCTCGACTCTCTTAAAAATAAATATCTTACGTCTCGTGGGTTCTAAAGGAAATGACCGCAACGTTCGTCAAGAGGAATCAAATCCCATAAGTGATGGGGAAATTCACGTGCGCTCTAGCCAAAGTGTGATTTAGACATTTTGAGACTTAAAATTGACGAATTAGTATATACCTTACAACCACGATGAACAATGTGCTCGGCGAAAACTTACCTCTTTCATAGGCTGAGGCCGAGTAACTCAGCCAATTTCTAGTGGATCCTGCCAAGTCCAGGAACACTAGGAAAGTGGCTGCTTTTGTATTAAGATTTATTTTATCTTGCTTTGGAATAGTACATGCGAGAAATAGGAGCCTTGCACGAAGACTGCATAAAAAGTCAATGTGTTTTGTGTTGGAAAAGGATGCATAGAAACTAGGATTGCAAGAGAAAATTGTTTTATGGGTGATGGGTTTAGTTTACATAGTGTCTATCTTTGCTCAATCTTGTGGATTTCAAGGTAGGTTTTGGTCTTCCAATGCATAGGGACTTAATGACAGCTCTTTAGAAGCATCCAGAAATAGGTTTTGAGTCTATAACAGGTCTTTTATATGGGCAGAAAATATAGTGACGAATTCTAAACAAAGAGTTTTATGTATTTATAGACAATTCTTTGCTGCAAATTGGTTTTGAGTGATTCCTTCTACCCCGCGCAAGTAATTCTGCCTCCCTTCTTGTTGTTGAGAATTCCTGACCACCTTGTAGGCCCCAGCCTAAATCAAGTCTTGAAGAGGATTCTTATTTGTACAAATGGTACTTTGTACTTGGAACGAGTATAAAGAAATTAATGATACTTTTCTATCTTTTGCATTGCTTTGCCAGATCGATTGCTCAAGATCTTTGTTCTCCATTTGAACCCGATAAAAAGAAAATTGGATCACTTCTTGTGGATTTGTTAGAATGAATCTGATTTAATTCATGGCCTATTAAACAACACTCTGGTGGATCCTTGTGAGCAGAAAAAGATTGCAGTCAGTTTGATAATGATTGAGTGGCATTGCTTCTTCGGTCCAAACCAAGAACTCCGTTAGATATGATGCACAATGGATTTTGTTCTATTGTTGATCAGCTCTTTTGGCAGTATCATAGCACAAGTAGGCCAGGGTCTGCAAGATGTTTTTGGGAATCACTCATACGGGGTGTGGAGGGTGGAAGCATTAAAGCAGGGTAGGAGGAATCCCTCAAATTCTATTAGGAGGAATCAACTCCAAGTTGCAGCAAAGAATTTGCTTATAAATACATAAAATATTTCATTCAAAATTTGTCACTATATGTTAAGCCCACATACAAGACCTTTTATGGACTCAAAGTCTCTAGGTGCTTCTAAAAAACCCATTAAGTACCTCTGAATTAGAAGAACAAATCCTACTTTATAACATACAACATAGAGCAATGATCGAACAATTGCTCTCATGCAATCCTAGTATCTATGTATCTGTTTCTAACACAAAATACATCGACTTCTATATAGTCTTCATGCAAGACTCCTATTTCCTACATGCATTATTCCAAGAAAAATACAATAAATTTTAATGTGTATGCAACCACTTTCCAATGCACCTCTATGCACTGACTAAGCATTGCATCGTTCATCCTTTCGAAAAGAACTAACCTTGGATCTCTCTTAAGTCTCCATTGCTAAAAAGTTGGTTTGATGTTATATTGTTGAAGGGAAAAGTTTATATAGAGCCGAGGCTCTAAACAATCGAATTTGAGCCTACCTCAAAAATTCCACTAGAAGAGGTTGTTTTGATGCCCAAATATCTTCAAATTGATCATCTCGACTTCAAGATGCATGGACATGAGAAAAAATGGATTTCAAGTTTTGGAAATAGTGTATTTTGTAACGCATTTTTGGACCGTCAATTTTCAAGATTTTTAAGTTTTCATAGATTTGTCGATCTACACTATTTTTGAAGCTTTAAACTTTAGAAGTAAATATAAAAAATATATTTGAAGTCTATCACAAATATTTTCAATATTGAAACCACATTCTTGACACTATTTGAAGGTTGGCTCTAATTTGATTGTTTAGAGCCTAGGGCTCTATACAAACCACACCCATTGTTGGATTACCACCTTAAAAAATAGGAGTTGTAATTAATTGAAAAGTCCACTTAAGAAAGGGTCGTCTTCTTTTAGAAAAGCATCTTCACGTACATGTGGTGAGATTTCAAACTATTCATAACATAAATTTTTTTACCCACTGGAAATAGGTTTCTCCTTTAGTATTTTCTTGTTGCACCTTCTTCATCAAAGATGAGTGGCTTGTCGCCTTGTCCCCATCAACAATAGTTTCCACAAAGGATCTCGAGGATGCAAATGGCCATCCACCTCATCCACATGGTTTTGACAATGCTCTAGGAAATTAAATCATCCTGATTTCTTGGTGATCAAAGCCTACTACAATATCAACTTGATGCAGAATCACTCATGTTGGGTAGGAGGAATCACTCAATTTCTAATAGGAGAACTCAACTCCAAATCACAACAAAGAATTGCTCTCAAACACAAGAATTTCATTCAAAATTCGTCACTATATTCTCAGCCCACATACAAGACCTTTTATAAACTCAAAACCCAAGTCTAGATGCCTTTAAAGACCCCACATCGGGTCCCTATGCATGGGAAGATCAATTACCCATTACCCATAGAACAATTACTCCCATGCAATCCTAGTCTCTTTGCATTCTTTTCCAACACAAAATACATTGACTTCTATCCAGTCTTCATGCAAGACTCCTATTTCTCAGATACAATTTTCCAAAGAAAAATAAAATAAATTTTAATACAAAAGCAATTACATTCCAATGCACATCCACATGTAGTGACTAGGTGTCCACCTTGGCGTTGACTAGGCGCTGCATCAAGAAACAAACACTTATAGTTCAAAATGGTGCAAAAAAAATGAGTCAGACAGAATAATACAAGTAGAAACAGACTGGATATCCTTTGAAAAAATACTTGGAAAGGAAGGGATGGTAGAATTGGCTGAAAAGGATAGGGAATTGCTGTGAACTAATAAAATGTAAATCAGTAGCACATCACAGAATCTCTTGAATTATGAGTTAGCAATCATGACAGGAACTCTTATACTCATAATCACAACTGGACTATAAATCATAGAATTTATAGTCTTGGGCTTAATTCACATACTCTTTGAGATTAAAACAGCTTAGGCTGCTATACTAACCCCTGCTAGCTTAGCAAAAAAAATAAAGATTATATTGTAATGTATGTTATACCTTATGTCTTTTAGAGACCATTTTGCCTCAATATGTGGCTTTGGTGCTATGCCTCACGAGGTCTCTCTCTCTCTCTCTCTCTCTCTCTCTCTCTCTCACAACCCTCTCCCCTTCTTCTATATCTTATAGGTAACCTAGTAAACTCAATGTTACCAAACTCACACCTATCATTTGAAATTTCAACTACAAACTTGAACCTAGTTGACCCATCTCTTGTTTTGCAGAATGAGCTTGATATAGGCGAAGAAGATGCACCTATGTCTATTCCATCCAATTCTCAATCGCACCCTCAGTCCTTGAATCCAAGCACCCCCACATTCTCTGGGCCAACTGGGCAATTGCCATCTGCTCAAACCAAAAGCTCTCTCTTCTCAAATGCTCTCTCAAGTCCCATAAGAAGGAGCCTTCATTCCTTTCAATTGGCTCACTGCTCAGATGCCAGTCCAAATACTGGAGGAAGAAGGACTGGACCTTTTCCTGAACCTGACCATCATGGTGGCTTCAATGGAGCACATGGGTTACCACATGACAGTGAGATTAGCACTGGAGATCCAATGGCTGAGGTTTATCCACACCAACCTCATGAGAACAGGGATTGTGATTCTAAGGATTCTTTGATGGATATGCATGAGGAAAGTCCATTTCGTGAATACTACTGACAAGTGGATCATTTGAATGGGTTGTGGAGTTTGTGATGGTGTGTTGGTGGATCTCATAAGGGGAAATTTGGAAAAGAGTTACTACCTAAGCTATAGGTTTGGTGCAAGAAGCATGCAGCTAGTGTCAGTTTCCTAGAGATGATAAAACTTCCGTGATAATTTCAAGGACAAATCCATTCTTATCTTTCTTAAGAATTTGCGGATGAATTGCATTCTTGAGTCAGTCTCTCTCTCTCTCTCTCTCTCTTCTCTCTCTCTCTCTCTTNNNTTCTCCTCTCT